ACTTTTATAGCAGTACTGAGAACTGAGGCCAGGGACTTTGCAATGAGCTCTATGTCCAATATCACCCCACACCCCATTTTTGGAGGCAGGGTCTTGCTAAGTTACAAAGTTGCCCAGCTGGATTCCAATTTTAAGTCCTCCTACCTCAGCCTCCCAGAGTGCTGGGGTTACATGCATGCTATAGACTCATTTCCTGCTCTCCTTAGGTCCCTTCCACCCACTCCTGACTGTCCCAGTGGGTGGGTTACATCCTGGACCCACCTCCAGGCAGTCCGCAAATGCCCAGCCCGTGAGGTGGTTTTCCCTCCTTGTGAACGTACCCACGTGTCTCACATCTCTCTTGCTCCTAACATCTACCTTGCAGCCTAAATCTATTTCTACTCACTTGGCCTTCAGCAGCACAGAGAAGCCTCCCTTGACTAATTGGGGAAAAAGTAGCACATTCTACCCTTGTCTTTCTGAATAGGCACCCCACCCACCAGCCCCTTTTAAACATGCCTCTCTTTGCCGTACCAGTATTACTGTAATTCACTCTGGCTCGACGTCTGCATGTTCTTCATCTCTGCCAGCCTCTGTGATGTCTGGGTTAGACTGAGACATCCTAGAGGGCAGGGCCACATCTACTGTCTGTCTCTAGCCCCTGCTCAGCAGAGCAGCAGGAATAGGTGGGCGCTTAATAAAGACTTTGGTAGTTGAAACAGGTGAACAGCACTCTGTGTCCAAAGCATTTTAAGTGCAAAAGGAGCCCTCCTGTCCCCAACCAGCCCTCCTGCCAGCCCATGAGCTGGGGCACTTTTTCAATAAAGTAAGGGGAGCACTGTCTTGCATCTGAGAGAATAATGACAATAACAAGCACTGTGAAAGCTCTGCTCTTGTAGTCCTGACTGATTTGATGCTCAAAATCATCTTCTAAAATAAGGACTATCATTATTTCACAAATAAGGCATCTGAAACCCGGAGAGCCCAGCTGTGGTGGTGCATGCTTGCAATCCCAGCATCCAGGAGGTTGAGGCAGGAAAATCACCATGAATTTGAAGCCAGCCTGGGCTGCATAGCAAGCGCAAGCCTACCTGAATGAAATAGTGAGACCCTGTCTCAAAAAAAAAGTGAGGCACAGTTTGGCTACATGACTCATCTAGCTCTCCAGCCAGGGCTGTCTAGTTTTGGAGACCTCAGCTTGCCCAAGATGACACACTGTCCCTCAACATGGACTGGTGCAGCTTCAGCCACAAGTGGAGAGTAAAGGTGTGCCAGGAGCTTGTCCCTGCACTTGCATGGCTCTTCTACCCTTGTCCTACATAAACCAATGACTGAGAGCAGGAGGGTAGCTCCCCAGGAACTTTCCAGCCAGGGGCCAAGTGGGTTCTCCAAGCATTTGTTTATAGCCCCGCTTCACTCCCCTCTTGTCTTCCTTGCTGTTTTTCAGATATGCAAAGCGTGTTCACATTCAGGCTTTTTAGCTTAGTGTTTCATCCTCCTGGACTGCTCTTTATCAGATCTATGCAGGTCTGGGTCCTTCTGATTGTTTAGGTACTAGCTCAGAGGGAAAATTCTGAGAATGCTTTTTCTGATCATTCTGTCTAATATATAATATATCTGACTGTATCTTCACCACGCCCTCCCATTCACTTAGCTTTAACTCACTCTCCTGGGGTTTTTTTTTTTGGCTTCAACTCAACCTTCTCATGGTATTCCACGCTAACCCAAATTACCTTACTTTTCACCAATTTACTTGTTACATTTTTGTGCCTCCACTAGACTTCCAGCTTCCAGACAGCAGAGATGTCATCTGTTTTGTTCACTCCTGGATATCTAGTGCCCGAAACAGAATATGGCACATTGTGTGTTCCCAGCAAGTGTTTGTTAAATAAACCATTGATGAATGAATGAATGAATGAATGAATGAATGAATGAATGAATGAAATATCCTTTGTTGATCTGGGCAAAGGTGGAACTTGCTGGGTCCTCCTGCTGACTTTTACCACCGCAGTTTGCAGGAAGAGATCAACTCTATTTTTGGTAGTCTTTTAACTCTGGGACAGTTGCAAATAACTAGAGTGATGGGTGAGAGGTTTCTAATCCTTTGTTTAGGCAAGGAGAAACCAAGCCATTCAGCTACTGTGACTGAAGGCTACTCTCACTTCAGGGAAACAGCTCTTTCCCTGAATGAAAACTGAAAGACAGGAATCTCAGCCTGCCCCTTTTCCCTTCTTCTTCTTTTCCCTCTCTTTTTCTTTCCCCATCTCCATGTCATTTCCTTCTCTAGAGCTCCCCCATCTCTCTCTCTCTCTCTCTCTCTCTCTCTCTCTCTCTCTCTCTCTCTTTTTTTTTTTGACTTCTCTTCCTAATTGAAATGCCATGAAGAAAAGCAAGAAGAAAGCAGGAAACTATGTTCCTTGCATCCAGCTGTAGCACTCATGTTACTCTTATTACCATGATAACACAATGCCATCGAAACATTGGGCTCCTGACAGAGTAAACCCCCTGAACATAAAAAGTACATGTAGGAAGTGGTTGATTTGATCCAGTCTTAATGTAGACGTGGCTCTTATGCCCCCACATAATAACAGAATTTATTCCTTCCTTGGTGATAGTGCTTTTATTCAATGTTTTATTTATGACACATAGTAAAAATAATGAACCAGAATGGAAAGCTCTAAACTTTGACCAGGCTATGTATCTATCTTTTTTTTTTTTTTTTTTTTGGTATCTATCACAGGAGGGCATTTCACAATATTTCTAGTGACTCTTCTTTTTTCTTTCATTAATAAAACACAGTTTTTCCCTGATTAAAATATTTGTTCAGTGTATATTAATCATGTCCAACGTATCTTCAAACTTGTTATCTTCTGGTTTCACCCATAAGAAAAGGAGCAGAACAGAAGCGTAGAGCTCTTTAAGGAAATTCACACAGCAGGTAAAATATTATTCCAGGACACAGTCCAAATCCTGCCAGAAGCCACACTCCCAGCAGCCCTTGGGACAAGTACACCTGACCCAGTCCACAGAGAAGAAGAAATAGCTTGTGATGCTGTATTACTCTTTCTTTTGGAAAAGATGAGACTCCTGACTGAAGCAAGATCCTGACCCAAAGTGCCCCAAAGTAAGACTCAATGTTTCTGGGAGCCAAAGCAACCCTACTCTGTAGTTCTGTCAGAGGCTCTACTGGAAGTGGGGAGAAGAAAGGCACTCAGCAGGTAACCTGAACTCTATCATCTATAAGGAGTTTTCAACTCTTGGCAATATTCCATTTGGTGCTTTAGGTAAGCCTAGTCACAAGGAGGAGGAGCCAATTCCTTAATACCTCAGACAGATTTATTCACACTGAAATCCATCCCACTGCCCCTCATAATGCTCAGGAAGCTGCCCCAGGCATCACCAGAACCTGACATGTTTGTCTTCAGAGCAGAGAGAAAAGAAGGAGTGAAATATCAGCTAAGCCTACATCTTACAAGCAAGCAGCCTTCAAGAACCTGAGAGTCAGGAGCACCAGCACTGTATCCTAACACGCAGTCGTTTGTTCAAAGTGCACCCAGAAGTGTTCCCTGCACTGAAGGAGACTACTGAAGAAGTGAGCTAATTTGAGTGCATAGCCCTGCCCATGCTGGAATCAAATAGTCCTTTTCCTGTATCACCAACAAGATTGGATTTCCAAGTGAGCCTTTTCTGTCTGGGAGGGAAAGTCTGTGCATCTTGATAAATGCACACAGCTAGCCAGTATCACAGACTGCAAGTTGTAAATGGAATAAGTGAGATATCTGAATGGAGAAAGTAGGAAGAAGCCAGCAGACTTGAGAAAACTCGGCTCCATGAGCTATTTGGCATTCCCCATCCTGGGTGGACAAAGTTTAAGGGTCACTCTGATTTGATGTACTTTAGGCCTGAGAAGGAGACTAATGTGGAAAATGTCATTACCTTCCCCTACTTCCTTCTCTATGTACCTTAAATCCACTCTTACCCAGACTTCATGACCTGCTTTCAACATAAAAAAAAAAAAAACTAGAGGCTATTAGGAAGTTTTTTAGCAAACTGAAGTAGCTTCAGAGTGAAAAACAGGTTACTTGTATTCAAACAGTAAGTGCAAGAAAAGAGGACAAGATCTTGGCATTTTCAGACAGGGAAAAGGTTGGAATGTGGGGTTGAAGATGGGCTGTGGGGATGCTACCAGTAAGAAATCAGCTAAGATGATATTTTAAAAACAATAGAGAAGGAAGTAGGGGAAGGTAATTACATTTTCCACACTAGTTCCATCTCAGGCCTAAAGTACATCAAATTAGAGTGACCCTTGAAAACAAGCATGACTATAACATGAGATCTCTTCATTTCATCACTTCTGGATCATTTATTCTGAGGATGCTTCTAGAATTTTTTTGGATGGAATTAAAGACATTAACACCAGGAAGAAAATGCAAAAACTAGAACACAACTGAGCCACCAAGCTCCATCGGGTCCAGACACCAATTGGGAAAACTTTACAAGCAACAGCCGTGAGGACCTCTCAGATCTTACAGTTCTGACTTTGGGTGGTGGTGCGTGCCTGCCATTCCAGCATTGTGGCAGGCTGAGGCAGGAGGAGCACAAGTTTAAACCCATCCTAATCAGGAGAGAAAGAGAGAGAGAGAGAGAGAGAGAGAGAGAGAGAGAGAGAGAGAGAGGAGAGAGAGAGA